TATTAACTTAACCAAAAATGTAAAGGATGTATATGCTGAAATCTTCAAAACTTTGATGACAAAAGTTGAAGAGCTACTCAATAAATGGCGAGATGTGCCATGTTCATGGATTGGAAGACTCAATATATTTAAGATGTCAAACTTTCCCCAAATTGATAAAAAGATTTAATGTAATTCCAATCAAAATCTTAGGAAGACCTTTTTGTAGAAATCAAGAAGCTGGTAGTAAAATATATATGGGGAGACAAAGGATATAGAACAGCTAAAACAGTTTTGAAAAGATTAAAATCTTAGCCATGCTATTAAGCTACAATGATCAAGACAGTGGGTGTTGGTGAAAGAACAGATACATAGAGAAGAGCACAAGAAAAGACAACCCAGAAGTAGGCCCACACACAGTGGTTAACTGGTTTTTAACAGAGGTACCAGCGAAATACAAGAATGACACACTTTTTAACTAATAGTACTGGAACAATTGTTCATCTATGTAAAAAACAACAACAAACTTAATCCATAGCAAACACCATAAATAAAAATGATCTCAAAATGGATTACAGGACTAAATGTAAAACTGAAACCAATAAAACTTCTAGATGGAAATACAGGAGAAACGCATTGTGACACGGGTTAGGCAAAGATTTCTTAAGACAGAAAAAAAACAAGAAACATTTGACAAATTGCACTTTCATCAACATGAAGAGTGCTGCTCTTTTTAAAGACTACTAAGAAAATGGAAAGGGAAGCCACAGATTAGGGGAAAAAATAGTCTCAAAACACATATTTAAAAAAATGAATGGTGTCCAAACTGTACAAAGAACTTTCACAACTCAATTTAAAAAGCAATGCCATTTAAAAAATGGGAGAGAGGACCAGCATGTGCTCAGAGATGTAGAGAAGGGGAAATGACATTGCTCCCCTCCTACAACAACATAAAAAAGGAACTTACTGAAAGTTAATGACTTTGCTTAAACCTTCAAAGAACTCAGTTGCAGGGCAAGTGACTTACTCAAAATTTGCAGACAGACAGGCACTTGCAGGAAGAAACAGGGGCTGAGTATTTGCTCACCTCGGACAGATGTTGACAAACACCAATTAAGCTGGTCAGAGGATTAAACTTGGAATTGTTAATCAAATAACAAGAGCTGAACATAGACCAGTGGGAAAGAGAGAACACTTGGGAACCACAAATATAGGGTATAGGGTATTCTCCACTATCTTTTAAGCCTTTACCCCAGGAAGCCTACAAGATTCTTGCCTAGAAGATCAAGAAGAATCTGGAGAAAGCTCCCCCGTGGTGCTGGCTGCAGGAGGGGGACAGCTACTGCTGAAATCCACCCAGACCTAATCCACTCCATCTCCACTGTAGAAAAACACACACAAAAGCAACAACAACAAAGGCAATCTGCAGGGGAAGGCACTGGTGGAATCCCATTGCTTTCGAGGCAGTACAACCAAAACTTTGCCCAGAACCATCTGCCCTAACTCCATAAAGTAACAAGTTTTCATCTGCAGAAGAATGAGCTTCAACACTTTGGCCAGAAGAGGGTGGAGACCCACTGCGGCTGGGGGAGGGGAGCGGGGGTAAAAACTGTGCTGCCTCTGGAAGAGGGGCAGGAACACTTGTGAAAGCCACATTGTCAAGACCCAGTTTTACTGTACCTGCTTCCCACCGAGTCAGAGGACATCTGCTTCCCTCCCCTCTCGCCAGCAGGCTAGCGACCTTGAAAAAAGTAACTGGGGTGCAGCTAAGGGGGCTTCAAGAGACACTTCCTCTGGGGAGCAGAACAAAGGGAAGACTCAAAGCCAAGGGAGAAGACAAAAACAAAGTATGACCAGACACATTGTAGACCTCTGAACCCTGAAAACAGCAAACTCCAGTCCTGATAACCTAACGAACTTCAAACCCAGTATAACTCCTGACTAGAATAACACAAATCCCCACACTAAAGGCCTAGCAGAAGGAAAGGTGTGCTCATTTCCAAGCATAACATATATTTACCTCAGTATCTATTGTACCATACATGTCCATCTTTCAACCAAAGATTTCAGAGCCATACAACAGGCAAGAAGGAACACAGTCCAAAGACGCAAAGCAATCGTTAGAACCAGGCTGAGACATGGCAAAGATGTTGGAACTAACTAACTAACTAACTAACTAACCAACACAGGGAATTTGAAGTCAGTATGATTAATATGTCAATGGCTCTAATGGAAAGGGTAAAACAACATGCAATATCAGATAGGCATTTTCAGCAGAGAGATAAAAATTATTTAAAAAACAACAAATGGTCAAAGGAAATGCAAGAAATGGAAAGCACAGTACCAGAAAGGAAAAATGCCTTGGCCGTCCTCATCAGGAGACTCAGCAGAGATGCTGCCACTCTTACCCAGCGGATTCATCCACTTGCTAGCAGAGGAATGTCTGAGCCAGGAAATGTAACCCCACTGCTGCCCTTGTCTAGCAGCACCCTGGGGAGGTCTTCCCACTGCTCTTGACTGAGAGACACATCAGCATCAGGGTCTGCATCTCCCTACACGTTTGCACCCATTTCTTCCCTTAACGCCGACCTTTCTGGAAGTTTTTGAATAAACCACGTTCCTCCCTGCCCCAGAGCCTCTGCACAGGGTGTCTCTGCTGTTCCTCTTCCTTTAGCTCTAGCTCAGTGGTTCTCAACCTTCCTAATGCCGCGACCCTTTAATACAGTTCCTCATGTTGTGGTGACCCCAATTTCATTGTTACAAATTGAACATAATTAAAGCATAGTGATTAATCACAAAAGCAATATGTAATTATATATGTGTTTTCCAACGGTCTTAGGCGACCCCTCTGAAAGGGTCGTTGGACACCCAAAGGAGTCGCAACCCACAGGTTGAGAACCGCTGCACTAAAGTATTAAAAGAAAAAACTGACACCCCACAAAAATATCCTTTTCTACCTCTCTCCCCCCTTCCTCCTCACTCCGTCTCCCCCTTCTCCATTTTGGGCCCATAAAGGACTTTAGTCCTATAGCAGAAAAGTGACTTCTTTATGCTGATGTCATCAGATGGTAACAATCACACAGTAATGGCAGCAATCTGCTGCTAAATCAATTAACAGGCCGATTTCCACAGGATGTTTTCGGAGAAATACCACGAGCCCCTTTTCCTGCAGTTTATGGGTCTTAGCTGTGTGTTCAGAGCGCCACTTCCTCTTACTAAGTCAGCCCTTGGGTTGGCTCTGTGATAATTCCATTATTCAAGCACCACAGCTAACAAGTGCTGGCAGGATGCTGCTCCTGCCCCAGGTCATCGTGGCGGCCTGCCTTTGGACTTGTGAGTGACTTTACCCAGCGGGTATCTTATTCATTTGTAGGGAGGCACTAGAAAGCCTGGACAGTCTAACTAGCCCACTCAGGTGGAAGAAAGCCACACGGTCATTCAAACTAAGCTGACAGATTCCACCATACCTTGAATTCTTCAGGAAAAAACTAGAAACTGCAGGTCCCAAGATTTTCATTAACAGGGCACAAATGTATACTATTTTAATAAATGCCAAAAACATCTTACTAATGTTTGCTTTTGTTTTTCTTTCAGACACAAGTGGGGACATTCAAATAACACAAGCCCTCACATCCATTACCAAGAGAAAAGGAAGTACAGCATTTCTTGAATGCCAAATAAGAGACATCTTAAAGAAGGATTCATATATACATTGGTACCAACAGAAGCGAGACCAGGCACTCAAACGAATTCTGTCTATTTCCTCAGATGACAATATTAACCATGAACAAGGTGTTAGTAGGGAAAGATATGAAGCAAGAAAACATCATGGTAATTTGCTGGTGAGCCTCAGGATACACCGAGTTGAGGAGGCAGATGCTGGGCTGTATTACTGTGCCTGCTGGATTGAACACTGCATAGAAACGCCCACTGTCGCTGAACAAAAACCCCCATTCTAAAGTGACCTGAATGGTCTCTGCTTCACCATCTATGGAAACCTCCTAGAAAGGAAGCCACAATCCAGTGCTCAACATGGTTTGATGACAATGATTGAATAAATGAATGAATAAAAGAATGAATGAATGCTGGAAGATACAAGGTCTTTTGAGTGACATATACACCTTGGCTTCACATTTCTGCTCAGGTTCTTACAGACAGCATGATCCAGGAAATTACTAAATCTGGTTCATTCTGCTTTCCCATTTTTAAGTCGGCATAGTGTGAACACCTCGTAAGGTTGCTGAGGACTGACTGAGTTTTCATACATGAAGGTTTTACTTTGTGTTCATCAAATCACAATGTTCTTTCCCATTATCACTAAACCACTTCACTGAGCCATCTCAGGAACTCATTAGAAATGACATCTTACATTGTCCCCCAAACAACAAAGTGTAGCTTTAATTCTGAAAAGCTAAGAATTGTGAATAGGAGAAGAGTGAAAGGAAACTAACAAGGGGATATTTTTCCCTCCAACAACTTTCTTCATTCACAGCAGAGTATAGTAATATCATAGTATCTAAAGTAATAACTACAGTAATTGTTAATATTTACCAAACTTTGTGAACTTTCTGCAAGCTATGAATCTATAAAATGTACATATTTTTGCATGAAGTTGTGGGAATATTGTCTCTTTAGTTATTATAATGTAATGATCATTTCCTTCCCATTCTCATGCTAGCCACACATAGCTATATACACTCACAAAATATGATGAAAATCTATAATGAGCTCAAGGATAGATGTATTTGAAGCAAGACTTTAAGGAAAACATGGCAGGCAATTGCTCTCAAGAAGAAGTTATCACTGACTTACTACAAAACAGGTGTTGTGATGTGGTCTTCCGGGATCTGATAGTGCCCTTATACCAGGAACATGATAAAATGACACTGTGACAGATCTTACCGAGAAGGACTTTCATGGGTTCTAAAGCAAACGTTCCTCCCTCGTGCCTGCCTCAGCAGAGCAAGGGTTGTCACTGCATCCACAGTCCTGACTCACACCCCTCGGAGTGTCCATTCTGACCGGTTACTGGCAATGCCAACCCTGTGGATTTTCCTTGTGTCTGTGGCTTGGGTTTGTAGGTTAACTTTCCACCTTTCTTATCTTTTCGTTGTTTTTATCTCCAGAGTCCACTTTTTCAAGCGCTTTGAATTCTCTCCCTTGCTTTTCAGATGGAGACACCAAAATGAGAATATCTCAAGATCAACTCTCCTTTATCCGAAGACCAAATAGAACTGTGCACATAAGCTGCAAGCTGTCTGGGGTTCCCCTTGAGAATGCCATTGTGCACTGGTATCAACAAAAAAAAGGGGAGCCCTTGAGGCGAATCCTTTATGGCTCAACCAAGAATAGCAAGGACAACAAGCTCAATCCCCGCTTGGAGGCATATAGGAAAGATGGAACCTTTAACCTGATAATCAATAATGTCGTCAAGTCTGATGAAGCTATCTACTACTGTGCCTGCTGGGATCTCACAATGTCACAGAGTCACAAGGGACCTGTAAGAAAACCTTATCTATTACTAACCCTCAGCTCCTGTCACACTGGAGCAACCACAACATACTGCTTAATGCTCTTACTCGTAAGTTCACAAACTACTGAGACAGGGAGGGCTCTCAGGACACAGTCAGCACAAAGCCCGCTTTAGCTGAGGAAGCTGGGTTTGGCTCAGAGAGGGCGAGCAACTTGTCCAACACTAGTTAACCACAGAGCCAGGGCTCCACTTGCATTTCATATGTTTGGTCTAGGGCAGTGGTCGGCAAACTCATGAGTCAACAGAGCCAAATATCAACAGTACAACGATTGAAATTTCTTTTGAGAGCCAAGTTTTTTAAACTTAAACTATATAGGTAGGTACATTGTTATTAACTTAATTAGGGTACTCCTAAGGCTTAGGAAGAGCCACACTCAAGGGGCCAAAGACCCGCATGTGGCTCACGAGCCACAGTTTGCCGACCACGGCTTTAGCCTAACCAATGGTGCAGCTTTAAGCCCCAGCTATTTGGCCATGTAAGCAGTAAAAGTAAAATGTGTTTTGTCTTGTCAATGACTGGCTTTTAGCTCCATTAAAACTACAGAAAATAGAGAGCCAAGATGCAATGTAGGTAAACACAGTACTCACCACCTCCCACAACCACATCAAAATTGCAACTAAAATACAGAACAACCATCATTCTGAAGCTCCTGCAATCTGGCTGAATGGAAATCCTACCGCTAGAGAAAAAATCACATTGAGATTGGTAGGAGGGGTGGAGGCGCTGAACAGGCTGGTCCGACAGCCATGTGTGGTGTTTTTTTTTTTAAATAAGGAGGAATATCTCAGCTGTGTGTGTGTGGGGAGGGAGGAGGGGGGTCCAAGCCCCACACCATACCTTCATCCCAGGGTTGCAGAGCTAGGAAGAGAACTTTGGGCTATAAAAATCAGCGGGGATTTTGGCTGAGTGACATGGAGGCTGCTGAAGACCCAGGCAGTTCCTATTAAAGGGCCTGCACACAGACTTACTCCAATGCACTCCCTCTGAGCTCCAGCACTGGGGTAGTGGCTTGAGGGGATCCAGGGATATATGGAAAGGAACTGGATTATTTGGCATCGGGGCAAGAACTCAGAGGCAGTTTTCTCTCAGACAGGGGTGCTCACAGGGTTCAGTGTTCCTATGCTGAGACTTCTCCCATCACAGAGCTGACTGGCAGCCATATCTGAGTTTCCATCCACCTGGCTCACACTATTCATCCACCCTGGTGATTCCCTGAGATCCTGCCCATCTAATTTGCAGCCCCACCAAGTTGATTGCAGTGGCTTTTCCATATGAATGGTCTATCCTGGCTCAGGCTTCAGACTTTACTAAAATCTCACAAACAAGCAGCAGCTGGTGTCAGCATGTCTCATACATATCAATAAGAGGCTCAAGACTTGGCACTAGCAGTAGACTGCCTTGCTTCACAGCTTGGCCTCACCTGGGTACTTCCAAGCCCAACACCAGTAGCAGCCATCTTCAGATTACTCTGTAGCTCCTGCTAGGTGGCCCCAGGTAGGGCACAGGCAGTGGCTGACCTTGCACCTCCCAGGAGGCCCCAGAGCCACTGCACTCGATGGACAGCTTCAGACAACACTAGCTTACAACTCTACACATCCACACAATCAAGGGGCAGACTCAATGAGCAACAAAGCCCCACTGAAGCAAATCTTGCTCCATAGGGGTGTCTCCTGCACAGCAGCTCTCCCACTATAGTCGCAGCTGGTCTTCACAGGTCAAATCCTCCCAGTGATGCCAACAGCAATCAAGACTGAACTACAACAATACTTTGCACACAGCCCACACAGGGTTACAGCTAGAGTGCCAAGCTCAGGTGAATGGGGAGGCTGATCCATTGGGCCCCTACAGGACACCTACTACACAAGGCCACTCTAACAATTCCAGGACACATAGAAGCTCTATCTAATACATAGAAACAAACACAGGGAAGCAGCCAACATGTGTAAATAAAGAAATATGTCACAAATGAAAGAACAGAAGAAATCTCCAGAAAATAACTAAATGATATGGAAGAAAACAAATTACTAGGTACAGAGTTCAAAACAATGGTTATAAGGATGCTCAATGATCTTAATGAGAGCTTCAAGGAACTTAGTGAGAATTTTAATGATCTTAGTGAGAACATCAAAGACATGAAAAAGGACCAGTCAGAAATTAAGCATACACTAACTGAAATGAAGAATAATTTACAGGGGATCAACAGTACAGTAGAGGACACCAAGAATAAAATCAGTGATTTGGACTATTAGGAAGCAAAAAACACCCAATCAGAAGAGCAAAAAGTAAAAAGAATCCAAAAATATGAAGATAGCGTAAGGAGCCTCTGGGACAACTTCAAGAGTACCAACATTTACATTATTGGGATGTCAGAAGGAGAAGAGAGAGAGCAAGTTATTAAAAACCTTTTTGAAGAAGTAATGAGAGAAAACTTCCCATACCTGGTGAAAGAAATAGACTTACAAGTCCAGGAAGCACAGAGAATCCCAGAGAAGAGGAACCCAAAGAGGCCCACACCAAGACACATCATAATTAAAATGGCAAGGGTTAAAGAGAAAGAGATAATCTTAAAAGCAGCAAGAGAAAAACAGTTAGTTACCTACAAGGGAGTGCCCAGTTAGCTGATTACTCAACAAAAACATTGCAGGCCATAAGGGAGTGGCAAGAAATATTCAAAGTGATGAATAGCAAGGACAGGCAACTAAGATTAGTCTACCCAGCAAAGATATCATATAAAATTGAAGGTCAGGGAGAAACCAAGATGGCGGCATAGGTAAACACCTGAAATTGCTGCCTCGAACAACCACTTCAAAAATACAACTAAAAGACAAAACAGACATCATCCAGAACCACAGGAAGGCTGACTGAGTGGAAATTCTACAACTAGAAGGAAAGAGAAAAGCACACTGAGACTCAGAGGAGGTGTGGAAGTAAAGTGCAGAGGTACAGAGGCGCGCGCAGAAAGGGCTGGCAACGGAGGATGCCGGTGTCTTTTTCAATCTGGAGGGAGTCTCAAGCTCCCAACTGCTCTGAACTCCAGTTCTGGGCGAGTCTCTGGGGACCCAGACTCATATGGGAGAAACTGGACTGTCTGGCATCTGTCGAAACTCGAGGGCGGCTTTCTCTCAGAGGTGCTTGTGGCAATTACCGGGACACTGAGACGGGACACTGAGACCTGGGGGCCTCTTAGGACAGGGCTGAGGATCAGCCATAGCTGCTTGCTCCACCCTGTTGATTCCCTGAGACCCTGCCCCACCCAAGCTGCTAGCAGAGGCTTTTGCATATGAATGGGCTGGCCCTTTGAGATCTAAAATTACCTAACAAACTGCAGCTGGGTCAGGGAGACCCAGAACATCCAAAAGAAGGCCCAAGGTCCCACAGCAGCTTGCATTGCTTCACAGCTGGGCCTCATCTGGGCACCTCCAAACCCCAAACAAGGGAGAGGAATCTGCAGATCTCTCCGTAGCTCCTGCTGGGTAGCCTCAGGCAGAGGCTAAATTAGCACCTCCTTAGAGATCCAAGAGCCTGCTTTTGTTTTTCTTTCAGACACAAGTGGGGACATTCAAATAACACAAGCCCTCACATCCATTACCAAGAGAAAAGGAAGTACAGCATTTCTTGAATGCCAAATAAGAGACATCTTAAAGAAGGATTCATATATACATTGGTACCGACAGAAGCGAGACCAGGCACTCAAACGAATTCTGTCTATTTCCTCAGATGACAATGTTATCCATGAACAAGGTGTTAGTGGGGAAAGATATGAAGCAAGAAAACATCACGGTAATTTGCTGGTGAGCCTCAGGATACACCGAGTTGAGGAGGCAGATGCTGGGCTGTATTACTGTGCCTGCTGGATTGAACACTGCATAGAAACGCCCACTGTCGCTGAACAAAAACCCCCATGCCGCCCCATCTACACAAACACCCACCTCCTCCTTCCCACCTCCCAGAGGCACCTGACAGCTGTCCACTGAGGGCTTTCTCCTGCACTTGTGTCCTGAGCAAGGTCTGAGCTAGAGCCCAAGGATGCTTTTTGTGATGCTTCTCTCAGTAATGTCACTATAATCTATCCTCACCTCTCTGGGGCCTACGCTGGCTTTTCTAAAGTGCCCTAAAGCCTGAATGGTCTCTGCTTCACCATCTATGGAAACCTCCTAGAAAGGAAGCCACAATCCAGTGCTCAACATGGTTTGATGACAATGATTGAATAAATGAATGAATAAAAGAATGAATGAATGCTGGAAGATACAAGATCTTTTGAGTGACATATACACCTTGGCTTCACATTTCTGCTCAGGTTCTTACAGACAGCATGATCCAGGAAAGTTACTGAATCAGGTTCATTATGTTTTCCCATTTTTAAGTAGGCATAGTGTTAACACCTTGTAAGGTTGCTGAGGACTGACTGAGTTTTCATACATGAAGGTTTTACTTTGTGTTCATCAAATCACAATGTTCTTTCCCATTATCACTAAACCACTTCACTGAGCCATCTCAGGAACTCATTAGAAATGACATCTTACATTGTCCCCCAAACAACAAAGTGTAGCTTTATTTCTGAAAAGCTAAGAATTGTGAATAGGAGAAGAGTGAAAGGAAACTAACAAGGGGATATTTTTCCCTCCAACAACTTTCTTCATTCACAGCAGAGTATAGTAATATCATAGTATCTAAAGTAATAACTACAGTAATTGTTAATATTTAACAAACTTTGTTGACTTTCTGCAAACTATGAATCTATAAAATGTACATATTTTTGCATGAAGTTGTGGGAATATTGTCTCTAGTTATTATAATGTAATGATCGTTTCCTTCCCATTCCCATGCTAGCCACATAGCTATCCACACTCACAAAATATGGTGAAAATCTATAATGATCTCAAGAATAGATGTATTTGAAGCAAGACTTTAAGGAAAACATG